GCATTGTTACATTACATCACTCACATTGCATTGTTATATTATATTATACCACTCACATTGCATTGTTATATTACATCACTCACATTGCATTGTTACATTACATCACTCACATTGCATTGTTATATTATATTATACCACTCACATTGCATTGTTATATTACATCACTCACATTGCATTGTTACATTACATCACTCACATTGCATTGTTATATTACACCACTCACATTGCATTGTTATATTACACCATAATAATAATTCTGATCACATGACTAACCTGGCAATTCTTAATCTCATTGACGTTAGGTAGTACAAAAGAAAGATACTCTCGGTCTTCATAGTCACAGTACTGTGAGAGTTTGCCTTGCTTACATCGTGTCAGGAGAGCAAAGAAATGACTTGGCATAGGAGTGGATCCAATCCAGAAACTGAAATAATAAATTTGTATTCAACGGTTCAAAATAAAATCTGCACAGAGAAAGAATGCTACAGGAAAAAAAATCAAAGAAACCTAACAAAAAACTTTTGTGTGCCATCGGGTATTGCCGTTGAGCCATGAAGTGCAAAAGAGAAATATATTTCAAATTAATTTCAAACTTAAAGACTATATAGACTTTTAAACAAGACACCTGTTGCTCTTTGAGATGCACATTGTGAAGTGAATTAATTTGCTATATCAGTCATAATATTACAAGTAAAATTTACACAGAAGTGCTAATAATCCATTTTTTTTTATAGCTGTACTTAAGATTTGTTGTGGGGGTTCTGCAAACAAGACTTTCACAAAATTGTGAAATTATTATTTTTTTTTATTCTCAACATAAATCATTTTCAGAAGAAAAATCCCATAAAGATACATCTACCAGTAAATACACCACAGGACAGCCAACATATTTGTACATTCAATCTGGTAGCAAAGAACGTTGAAAGATATTAAACTGAAAAAATTTGGATTTTCTTAAAATAGGAATAAACATAAGGAGTTGAATTCTGTCAGTTTCCTCTTTAATATATATTGTTACCTTAAAAACTGAAACTAATTATTAACAATATCATTTTTAATATTGACTAATATTCAAAATATTAAAAAGTCTCTTTTAACTCATATTAATAATATTAATTTGCAGATGTACAAATTATACTCTGAGGTTGGGACAAATAGTTTTGAATGGCACATATCATTGTTTTTCAAAATTATAAAGAGTCTTAAGGTCACACATCCTGGTACTTTGCATGACCCCAAAGGTCACACATCCTGGTACTTTGCAAGGGAGTTTTGCTGTTCTATAATAGCAATAATATCCAATGCCATAAGTGCAATTTTTGTCACGATTAAATGTTATAAAACATTCATGACAACTGTTTGTATTTTTAAAATGTAAAATAGAGATTCCATGACCTTCAGTGGTCCAATGGAACTAAACAATATTTTGTAATTCCAAGCTTTAAACCAACTACTGTAAAATACTTTATTTTAGCTGGAATCAATTTTTGTCGAAAAAAACTTGGGGTGTTTTGTATTGAATTTATTTTGACTGAATCATTCCTTCAGGAAAAATTAATAGTATTCCAAGTGTATTTTACAGTATATAATTATATAATTTTCATGAAGATCACTATAATCAGTGAGAGGTGCATATCAATTAATACAATGCATTAATGTGAGAACTTACCTGCTATCGGCCATATCTTCATGTGTGTCTAGTTTTCCATCATGATTGGTGTCAAATACTGGTCCAATGATAATGTTTATGCCATTAAATTCATCCGCCCAGTCATTGTACTTCTCATGCAAGAATTTCCATATACCTAATATTTAACAATAGTTAGATAAAGGTATGTTATCTTTTGATTTATGATATTCTCTGAAATTGCAACTACTGAGAATCAAGTACCATATTTGCTCAATTTAGACCCATACTAATTGAAACACATCTGTATTAGAAGTGTATCTCAAATTGAAATGCGTCTCTATTGAAAAAATACTTCTCTATTAGAAATGCATCTATAATAAAAATGCATCACTAATTGAAAGGCATCTCTAATCAAAATGCATCTCTAATCAAAATGCATCACTAATTGAAATGCATCTCTAATCAAAATGCATCACTAATTGAAATGCATCTCTAATCAAAATGCATCACTAAATGAAATGCATCTCTTATCAAAATGCATCACTATTTGAAATGCATCTCTAATCAAAATGCATCACTAATTGAAATGCATCTCTAATCAAAATGCATCACTAACTGAAATGCATCTCTAATCAAAAGGCATCACTAATTGAAATGCATCTCTAATCAAAATGCATCACTAACTGAAATGCATCTCTAATCAAAATGCATCACTCAATGAAATGCATCTTTAATGAAAACGCATCACTAATTGCAATGCATCTCTAATCAAAATGCATCACTAATTGAAATGCATCTCTAATCAAAATGCATCAAAATGCATCACTAATTGAAATGCATCTCTAATAAAAATGCATCTCTAATTGAAATGCATCTCTAATCGAAATGCATCTCTAATTGAAATGCATCTCTAATCGAAATGCATCACTAATTGAAACACATCTCTAATCAAAATGCATCACTAATTGAAATGCATCTCTAATCAAAATACATTACTAATTGAAATGCATCTCTAATCAAAATGCATTACTAATTGAAATGCATCTCTAATCAAAATGCATCACTAATTGAAATGCATCTATAATTGAAATGCATCTCTAATCAAAATGCATCACTAATTGAAATGCATCTTTAATGAAAATGCATCTCTAATTGAAATGCATCTCTAATCAAAATGCATCACTAATTGAAATGCATCTCTAATCAAAATGCATCACTAATTGAAATGCATCTCTTAATCAAAATGCATCACTAATTGAAATGCATCTCTAATCAAAATGCATCACTAATTGAAATGCATCTCTAACCAAAATGCATCTCTAATCAAAATGCATCACTAATTGAAATGCATCTCTAACCAAAATGCATCACTAATTGAAATGCATCTCTAATCAAAATACATCACTAATTGAAACACATCTCTAATCAAAATGCATCACTAATTGAAATGCATCTCTAATCAAAACGCATCATTAATTGAAATGCATCTCTAATCAAAATGCATCACTAATTGAAACACATCTCTAATCAAAATGCATCACTAATTGAAATGCATCTCTAAAAAAATGCATCACTAATTGAAATGCATCTCTAATCAAAATGCATCACTAATTGAAATGCATCTCTAACCAAAATGCATCACTAATTGAAACACATCTCTAATCAAAATGCATCACTAATTGAAATGCATCACTAATTGAAATGCATCTCTAATCAAAATGCATCACTAATTGAAATGCATCTCTAATCAAAATGCATCACTAATTGAAATGCATCTCTAATCAAAATGCATCACTA